TTTCCTTCCTCTCTCTCTCTCTCCTTCTCCCCATCTCTCTCACCATTTTTCATTAGCTTTTTTATTAAATTGATTATCTGAAATTTTAAATTTCAAATTCTTTTTTTTTTTTGCTCAATACAGAATTATAAATTGAATTCTGTTGATAAATTAAATTGATCAAAAGATTTTTCTCATTTCAATTTTTACTAAAAAGCTTATGCGAATGCTATAAGAAATAATAAATGATAAAATTGTGTAATTTGAAAATTTTTTTCCCTATCATCAAAATATTTAATTTGTTTCAATTGCAAAAAATGATATTATTAAATGTCTTTTTCAAAGTCTTTTTATCCGTTCCTTCCGGTAGTTATATTAAAATATAGAGACAGGTGTGCTTCATTCAATCATATCAAAGAAAATACACCTGGTCATACCTGTTGTAGACATTTATTTATTTCATCTATCCAAACCTTTCAATCTTATTGTTGTTAAAATTGCAAATGAAATTAAATGAAGCAAAGTTGAAGGAAACAAAAGCACAATTATAAGCGTATGTTCTTTTTTTTTTTCAAATTACTTTCATCAACTTTTAAACTTTGACCTATCCTTTTATCTCTTCCATCTCAATCCAACCTATCATCTCTTCCCTTTTTTTTCCCCCCCCATCAATGTCAATTTTTCTTTATTTTTCTTTCTATCGCTCATTTTGCGAAAGCATTGGGTGCTTCTTTTTTTTTCTTTTTAAGCATTTTTACATTATGCTTAAAATTATTTGAGAACGTTCATTTGTCCGTGTAACGACCTTCTTCCCCTCTTATTGCAATGAAATCTCATTACTATCAGAGATCTTTCAGTTAAATTAATGATTATCATTTCTACTGATAAAGATAGCTAGCTATTTCAATTTTAGTTCTTTCAGTTAAATCAATGATTATCATTTTTACTGATAAAGTTAGCTAGCTATTTCAATTGCTAAGCTTTTTCAATTTTAAACAGCCACACTTCTTATAAGCATTTACTTTTATCGTTTGAATTATTCATTCAATAATTCAAAAAAAAAAGCTACAAGGGAAAAAAGTTATATTAAAAACAAAAAAAAAAAGAAGGATTATTATTTTAAATAACCTTTTCTCTTTTTATTTGTATCTTAAATGACCTCTTTTTAAATAATTCATTAAAAATTACAAAAATCACAAATGGATTTCTATTTTTTTTTTAATTTTATATGACATAAATCAACAATGAATGAAGACAAAATTGATTATATAATGATAATCTCTGATAATAATAATGATAATAATGATAATAACTGATAATAATGATAATAACATGGTTACCTATGCTTTTATCAGTGATTCATTCATCTAATATTTTTCCTAATCATTTTATGATAATTTTCTACTAAAACTTAGGCATATTTCTTTTCTTCAATTTTTATTAGTGTGAAAATTTCTGAATTTTTATACCCATTACTTTTTACTTACACAAAAATTATTTTCATATTTGCTTTTGTCCTTTTCAATTCCGATATATCTGGTATTTCATTTATAAATTCAGTAAAACAATTGATATTCGATGATTCTTTGTCATCTGTTATTATTCATGGTTTTCATTTCAGAAATCGCATTTATTAAAAACTTCAATGATTTGAAGGCTTCTTTGTTAGCATAGCTTAATGATATGTTAGCGCCCAAATTGAATCATCTAAAATTGCTATAAACTGTAGAAAACAATTACAGTTTACGAGAATTCTTTCAGATGCTTCATTAAAATTCGAATATATTATAGTTAATTCCAATGGATCATATCCCTCAACTGTTTCCTGAAATGAATCATTCCATATTTATCCTCCTATACTTAAAATATATCCCGATATTTTATAAATTTCCAAAACTCGGGATAATCAATAGAAAGGAGAGGTTAGTGGTGTCAAATCCCGAGGAAATCATTAGGAAATCCTTGTAAAAGTTTACCTGAGAAAGTAAAAGATGATAAAAATGAAGGATTTTGCATGGAATAGTTCATAGGAATAAATTAGTGACAAGTAAGTTAATAATTAATAAACTGTTTTATTAATTTAAATATTCAATGGTGAGGTGCAAAAATTCGTCAAACTTTTGTTTAATAATTAATCAAAAAACATGGAAGAAGTTTTCTGTTTGAAGGAAATATTTTTTGATCTTTTGATTATATAATTAATTAATTAAGGATAATTATCTGTTACGCATGGAAGGAAACGAATTTCTCTATGTTGCAAAAATGAAATTATTATATTTCTATATTAATATTCGTGTAAATTAGCATTTCCTTTTTTCAAAAATTTGAATAAAATTAAAGAGAAAGAAAAAAAACTTAAGCTGTAATATTTACAAAAAAGAAAAAAAACCATTCGCTAATATTATATTTAAATGAAATTTAATACTAGTATTGTATTCAAATAAAACCTTATACTACTATTAAACCTAAATAAAATCTTATACTACTATGATACTTAAAATCCTATACCATTCTTACATTTAATTAAAATTTTATTCTGATATTTATAATTAATATTATATTTAAGTAAAATCTTATACTGATATTAAATCTAAATAAAATCTTTTTACCAATGTTCGGTATAAAATTAATTATTTCCAACCTGGTTTTTGTATACATATATTTTTTTTTGTATAATCAGAAGATGAATTAAAAGAAGAGAGAAAAAGTTTCGAAACTTACAGAATGAGAATTATCTTTTTTTTACATTTAATATACTTTATCCATTGATTTAATCGATAACAGTTTGCATATGAATTAGTGATGTAAATTAGGATAAGTATTGTTGTTGAGTAGTATGATGAGTTTAGTTGCCAAATGTTGAATATGCAAATTATGTGAATGATGTAAAGAATAGTTGAAAGGATGAATGATGAATGTGACTACTTAATTAACCTTATCTTCCATATATTTCATGATACTGTGTGTGTGACAAGATATTGTTGATGCGCAACTGTCATGCATGTAGCTTAAATTAGGTTTGTTGTTTAATTGTTGTTAGTTTAGTTGGAATTTATTAATCTTAGTTAATAAATGCCATGCATTTTGCATGCAAAAATGGGACAAATGTACATTAACAATCAACAATTTAATTATAATTTCTAACTTAGCTAATAAAATATCAGCATTTCCTATAATAAGTAAATAATTATTTGTCAATTTGATACAGATAAGAAATGCAAATTGGTTAATATTATTGCAATTGCATGCTATACAAAAGTGCAATAATTTGCAGTTTTTTTTTTGATTTGCAAACCAAATGCAGCTGCAATTCTTTTACTTGTTAATTTCTGAATTCTAATTGTTTGATTTATGAAATGCTAACCATTCTCAGTGTTATCTTCTTATCAATTATGATAATCGTTATCAGAGTAGAATAAATGACAGAATGGGAGGAATTGTTTTGAATAATTGCCTTTTAAATTTTACTATAAATTTTAAAACTAATTAACCACAATGTATGAAAATGTCCTGATAAATGGATTAGCAAAACAAATTTGCTTCTCAATTTAATCCCTTTCACTTCTTAAAGCTCATTTAATTTCACTCATATCTATCTCTATTATAATATCCAAATGTCTATATTATCATTTTTCAAATTTCGCCATTTTATAAATCAAAATTTAGACATATCATGAGGACAATTTCACTATAATCATGCTAATATCACATCAAACAATCTCTCCCATACATAAGCTTCTCTTCTTTTAATCTCTATCTTCTATTTCCTACCACTTTTATTCATCCATATTTAATTCAATGCTAAATATTATAAGCACAGGTACGTTCTATGCTCAGCTAGTAACGTACATCTGGTACTTGGCTAGTAACGTACGTCTGGTATTTGGTTAGTAACATACGTCTAGTACTTGGCTAGTAACGTATGTCTCGCATTTGGCTAGTAATGTGCGTCTAGTACTTGGCTAGTAACGACGTCTGGTATTTGGTTAGTAACATACATCTAGTACTTGGCCAGTAACGTATGTCTCGTATTTGGCTAGTAATGTACGTCTAGTACTTGGCTAGTAACGACGTCTGTTGTATGTCTGTCATACAGTTAAAATTGTATAACTTTTGCATATAAACATATTATACACTTCATTTAACACATAGATCATTCCCATAATGCTACTACTTTTTCATGTTTATATTAAATAAGTTTACGTAAAAATGAGACGAAATAAATGTTTGTTGAATAAAATATTATTCAAATTTAGTATTTACAACTGAATGAATGTATGCGCATTTGTCTGTCTGTGTATGTATGTGTGTGTGCACGAGCGCAGTTGTCTGTCTGTGTATGTGTACATGCCTAAGTGCAAATATCTGTTAAAAGAAGGATAGGCCCCATTGGAGGAATAGGCCTTTGGATTGGTACATGCATAAAATGAAATGATGTTTAGGCCTATTCTTTCGTTGTTATTCATTGGTAAAAAGTAAAAAGAAAAATTGACTTTTCCACTACAACGGACTTTTATTTTTCCTTTTTATTCTTTGTGTTTGTTTTTTTTTTTAGTTTT